TGAAGAAGATGTGTTTTTTTTATAAAATGGAGTACTACTCAGCCATAAAGAATGAGAAACTAGAGTCATTTATAGCTAAATGGATGCATATTGAGGCCATCCTCTTAAGTGAAATAGGACACATGTGTAAACACCAAATAGTTTCTCTAGTATGAGAAACTGAAAGTGTAAATAAGGGTTAAAATCATTAAAATGAATAATTGATAATTTGAAATAGGAAGAAAAGTCCAAAGGGGTAGGGGTGATGGGAGGGGAAGGGAAAGGAAAAATTACGAGAAAAGAAAAAAAAAGAGGAAATGAAAGCTATGTAAATATGGGAAGGGTGGAGGGGGTGAAGGGTCCACAGGAAATGGACAAAAAATAACCAAGATACATCATGTATAGGTACAAGCACCCAATGACAAATATAAACATATTGTATACCTTAAATGTACCAATAAAAGAACTTAAGAATAAAAAAAAACAAAATCAGGGTTCAGAACCCACAAAACCAAGAGAAGAATCCCAGAAACTAGAAACTAACCGAATTACTGCTCTCAGAAAGTTTTATCTGGGTATCCAACCTGATGACTTTACCTGAGGGTCAAAACTTAACTTTACTACATATCTCTTTTGGTCTGCAGTAGTTCACATTTCTATTTTTTCTGTCTTTTCCTTCTAGATTTCTCCATCCTCCTAAGGAAGAACAATTTCTTATTTGGTATAACTGGTGGTAGTATGCAAAAACAAGATCCTTGAAAAGGTCAGAACCTGTACTTTTTACATAGTAGAAATAGTTATTCTGTGTATGAATGTATGTGTCACACACACAAAAAAAACAGTGAGTAAAAAAATCTCACCCTTTTTTGCCAACTTGTGCTGCACTTTTATGTCATTTCCATAGCACTTTATAGTTTACAAAGTACTCTCTACATAATTATCTCATATGGCCTTCACAGTGATCTTGTGAAGTAGTACTGTGTTTATCCTCTTCTATGGAAATGATGAGTTAAGAGACTTTCAAAATATTGTAACTAATTGAGTTACAAAGCTTAGTCCCAAATCTTTTTGCCTCTAAATTTTACCATTCTCACTATATCACAAGTTTATGATGTGTAACAGAATTTAGTAGACGTGTAAGTATGCAAAATACATGGACATTGGAAAAATGTATGTAAAAATTTATGAAAAAAAATTAAAATCCTTTTATGGATTTAAAATATCAGTAAATCAGATCTTGACATTAAATACCTAACATAACCTTTGGGATGATACCAGAGTCCACCATATATAATACAATATACCATTTTCTGTAAGGTAAACAAGGTTTTTCATGAATTGACTCATACCATTTTCTGTAAGGTAAACAAGGTTTTTCATGAATTGACTCCTACCTACTTTTCTAGTTTTATCTCTCTCAATTCCTGTTATTCATCTCCATAGCTTACTATATCCCTTTCATCCATAAATGCATGGCTAACTCTTCTCCAAATGCATTGTCAGTTTCCATGTCTTAATACCTTAGTACTGTATTCTTTTGTCTTCTCACAATTGTAGCTCACCTTCAACTCTACTAAGCTTTCCCTGGCTCTCTAGGCAAAGCTGATTATTCCATCCTGCTTTCCCAGAACACATTGTATAGCAAATGTGTTATAGTAAAAATCACATTATGACCAGGAAGCTAAAAGTAAGAAGAGGAACTGGTGACAAGAACACATCCTTCCAAGTCATGCCACCCACCCCTAACCAGTACCTGCTTCCTAGCAGCACATTTTCAACTACTGAATTCATCAGTGATGAATCCACCTATGAGTCTAGCACCCTCATGATCCAACCACCTTCCAAAAGCCCTGCTTCTGAACACAGACTTTTGTGGAACATTTTAGGTTTAAACCATAGTAGCCTCTATTAAAAGTTTAGTTGTACAGTATATGATGTTACTGTTAGTAGTGAAAATGTGCTGAGTCATCTTAGGTTTATCAAGAAAGAAAAAAATTGAGACCCATTCCTCTAAATCCAAGATCCACTGTCAGAAATGGAAAGAACTTCCTGGGAAGGTATGGGATCTTTATCACAGGAAATATATGCAAAGATGTTTTAGGAATGTTACAAGAAAAATTAAAGCATCAGCTAAAATTGGTGGGATTGTAGATAGGAAGGAGGAAGCATTAAACTAAAGTTCTTAACTCTAATTAAACTTTTGTGGGGGGTACTGGGGATCAAACCCAGGGCCTCTTAGATGCTAGGCTGCTAGGCAAGTGTTACATCAATCAGACTTTTAACATTCCTTCAAACTTAATGCTTTGTATTTATACCAGCAGACTGATTACCAAATACAAAGGAAGAGACTTCAGTGTGACTTCAACCTGGTTGACTTAAGTGGAGGACAAAATAATATAAGAGAAAATTCAATATATAAAATCCAGCGCTATAGAATAGATTACTTTGTAGTAAACATTGAACTTATTTTTATAATGATCCCTTTTAACTTACTATCTTGTATACTCAAAATATACTTCTTTTTTTTTTTTTTTTTTGGTACCAGGGATCGAACTCAGGTCCTTGCACTTGCACAGCAGGCAGCGAAACCACTGAGCTAAATCCCCGGCCCCAATATACTTCATTTTTATAAAAATTCTATTTACATTTAAGTTTTTAGGACTATATCTTATAAACTATATTGTTCATTATTTCAAAAAAATACTATCTGCCAAATTATATTATGGCAAATATTAAGAAAATAATTGAGGTGGGCCCTGCTGCTACTGAACCATAGACTCAGAATATGATAAAACTTTAAAGGAAACTGAGATAAGATATGTAACTACCCACCACAGTGCCAGGGAGTGATAGATGAAGAAGCAGAAAACAAAGATGTTGCTGTTACTGCTGCTATTTACACTGCCATTGCGGCTGCCGCTGGTAGTGTTGCTGCTGCTTTTCTGCCCCCATATCATACTTCTCTAACCCTTCAGAAAGAACATTGGTATTGTATATTTGTATACACATCATATGCACATACACCCAAAGAGATGATCCTTGATTTATGATGGGGTTACATCCCAGTAAACCAACTATAAGTTGAAAATGCATTTAAATACATCTAACCTACCAAACATCATAGCATAACCTAGTCTACCTTAAATGTGCTCAGATTACATATATATATATTAGCCTAAAGTTAGACAGCATCTTCTAATAAAAAGCCTATTTTATAAGTGCTGAATGTAATTTATTGAATACTAAAAGTAAAAAACAGAATGGTAAAACTTTTATACCATTGTAAAGTTGAAAAATCTTAATTTGAACCATTGTAAATCACAGATCACCTATATATGTACACAAATTATCCCTGCTGCAGAACCTGAAGTTGTATGGTGTTTGTAGCAGTGAAACCCAGGCTCAGATTTGGAACCTCATATTTACAAAGGATTTCAAAAGTTACCCAATCCAGCCTTCCTTTTCTTCCTAATGATTTAATATCTTCACCAAGAGGTTATTTTACCTCTGCTTCCATACTTTCGATGATGGCAAACTCTTACTTTTCCTTCACAGAGAGCTTACCACTTTTGTATACTTTTGACTGCCAGAAAGTTCTTGTTAAGTAATGGACTGAAACCTATCTACCTATTGCTTCCACTTACTAGTCTTATGTCTCTCCTTTGGGGTAATACTAATCAAGTAGAACATATCTCATCACTCCTGTGTAAGCCTCTTCCAGTAATTGCAAACAGCTCTTGTGTTTCCCTTGAGTCTTCTCTTCTCATGATTAAACCTCCTTAGTTTTTTAATCCCGTGTTTTTCTTGTTGCTTTTGTTAAGATTTTATGCTGTGTCTCAGTCAGAGTATAGGACCTACGTTTGAACATAAAACTACCTCCAATGTGTTTTTACTGGGAGAGAGTAGAGCATCTAAGACTGACCTCCTTTATTCCAAATACTAACTTGGCCAGGTGCAGTGGCACTCACCTGTAATCCCAGTTACTCAGGAGGCTGAGGCAGGAAGATTGCAAGTTCAAGGCCGGCCTCGGTAATGTAGTGAGAACCTGTCTAAAAATTAAAAAGAAAAAAACCCCAAATAATAACTAAAATGATAATGATAATAATGATCATCTAACATTACTTATTTCATGATATCAGAAAACCTAGGGCTGGGAATTTAGCTCAGTGGTTCTGCCGCCTGCCTCTCAAGCACAAGATTCCAAGTTTGATCCCCAGTACCAGAAAGAAGGAACGAAAGAGAGAGGGAGGGAGGGAGGGAAAGAAAGAAAGAAAGAAAGAAAGAAAAGAAAAAGAGAAAACCTAGAAGAATGGGAACCAGAAATATTCTAAAAAGCAACAGCTTATTCTGTGCTCTGGATCAGACCTATGTAAACCTCTGGAAAGGGTAAACATACATAGTTGAAGTCTATTTTGAACTGCCTGGAAGACAAAGGACATTATTGCCTCTCTGCATTTTGACTAGCCATTCATTGCTAGCTGCGTTGCTTGTTAAAGGAAATATTGGTGTTATCTTAGATTCTTCTCTCTCTGTGCACACACAGAAGTGTGTAATTGCTACAAAGCAAGTTGGGGGAGGAACAACTGCCAAAGGGAAATCTGCTTCATTTTCTTTGTTCACATCTGCTATGTGGAAGAGACAGGATTTATTGCTCTCTTTGAGAAAGAGATTGCCTTGTTCGCTTCCCTTCCCCCCTCTTCTGGCAGATAATCCCAAAGGAATATTACATCTCATCACATTTATCCCCAAATGAAGTAAAAGTAAATGAAGGAGAGCTGGAGGCAGAGAATTAGCTGAGTGGCACTAGGAATACTTGCTAATAAAAGAGTGGCTGATCAGTGATATATCCCAGACCAGTCCCCTCTCTGTCTCTGACCTCCCTATAGCTTGTTTTCTGTGAGCAGGTGTTCTGTTTCCAGCTCTTCCATATTGAGCTCTGTGCATATTGGAATAAGATTGTGGTTTATCGAATACAGAAAGAGTTCTGTCTTTTCTTAGAATTCAGAATTACATTTGATGCATTTTTGGTGTGTGTTTTCTGGTTCTCATTTCAGAAGGAGACATCCCTCCCTCCCTTTTTTTTTTCTACCCTACCCCTTATTTGTATGTCATGCAAGACTTCATTATTTCTTTTCTATTTTCCATGCTGTATGAATATTTAATACAAGTTTATAGAGTCTTACATTTAATGTAGCTTTACCTTTTTAAATCCCACATTATGCCTAGTCTTAATGTCCAGATCAAGTTAAAAGTACAGTATTACTGCTTCGTTTTTGTAGTAAAATGAGTAGAATATCCACACTCAGTCACTTTTCCCCAAGATGAGCTATTTCATGTTAGAAGCATTTTTAAGATTTCTTTTTGTGAGTTTTAGGGGGGTGGAGCACCACATAGATACAGAGACCAGTATAGTAAGGAGTATAGTTCAGATTTATATCTTGACTTTTCTACTGACCATAACCTTTTAGCAAGTTACTCAACCTTTCTGGGTATTTCCTCATTAGTAAAATGGTGTAATAATACCATGCTATATGGTGAAGGTTCAACAAGATTATGTCATTGAAATACTTAGCATACTGTAACACTTAAAAATGATAGCTGTGTAATGTTAATAATAATTAATATTCAAGTGATAACTTACAACTCAATTCTATCTTTTTTTTTCTTGGTACCGGGGATCGAACTTGGGACCTTGTGCTTGTGCAGCAGGCGGCAAAACCACTGAGCTAAATCCCTGGCCCTCAATTCTATCTTAATATAATATATGAAGAATTATTTTGATTTTTCTTTGTTTCAAGGGATGGCCAGTTGTGGTTATTTTATCACATTTCAAGAGAATTCTTCCATAACCTTGTCAGCTTTTTGCCTCTTACTATCTTTCAAGAATTTCCAAAAATAACAGAATTTTTACATTCTGTAGATTTGCACTGTCCAATACAGTAGTCACTACTTACATGTGCCTGTTTACATTTAATAAAAATTAAATAACAATCAAAAATGCAACTCCACAGCTGTTCCACCAGCCACATTTCAAGTACTGAATAGCTATATATGGCTAGTGGCTGTTACCCATTCAGCAACATGGATATAGAACATTTCTGTCATCAGAGCTCAAGGTGCCAGCAGGATTGGTTTCTGGTAAGGCCTCTTTCCTTGGTATAAATGGCCACTTATCAATGTGTCTTTACATGTCCCTTTTTCTCTGAGGGAAAGAAAGCCTCTCATGTCTCTTCTGTCAGATCAGGGCCCTACCTTTATGACTTCATTAAACATTACCTCCTTAAGAGCCTTGTTTCCCAATACATTGGGGGTTAGGGTTTCAACACTGTGTTGATGGCTTTTTGGTATTTTTGGATTTTCTGGCTTAACTTGGTTAGTTATTATAATATTCAGTATTTACATGAGATCAAATTAATGAGTATCTATATTTCTATGAATATAAAGGGTTAAGTTGGGCCGGGGATTTAGTTCAGAGGTTCTGCCGCCTGCCTTGCAAGCGCAAAGACCCAAGTTCGATCCCTGGAACCAAACAAAACAAAACAAAAAATAATAATAAAGGCTTAAGTTATACCTGTGGTACTTGCTATAAGATACTACTCAACTCTGAGGTATTCTAATAACAAAAAATGTATATTGAAATGTACCATTTTTCTTATAGTTTGTTAATACTTAACAGTTTATTAATACTTAAGGGTATTGGTACAGGTTAATAATATTCCCTTCCCCTCTCCCCTCCTCTACTTTACAGATGGAGAGATTGGCATACAGAAAAACTGACTTGTCACAGGTCCAAGCAAAGTATTGGTGGATCCAGGGATAAAGCCCAAACGTCTAAATTCTTTGACCAGTTTTTTAGTCCACTGACTATGCAGCCTAGTGGTAAGTATTATGCTATCCTAGAAGTAAGGGATTAAGAGACCTAGCAAGGACTGAGTTTAAGGAGTTCTTCATTTCTAATAGACTACTCATAATCCTTTTTCTTTTCTTTATAGCCATGATGTCATTTTTGTCAGCATAAATTTTCTAAATTAGAAAGGAAGTTTAAAGTTTTACTTTTTAAATACCTACAAATATTTCTCTAATAGTTTGGCACATTAGAGGTATTAATAAAGGAAAATAAGACAAACCTATTATTTAATACATTTGTTCTCTGAGTTAGTCACCATGCTAGACACTTTATATCTTCTTACTTAAGTGTCATTAAAATTTATAACCATTTCTGGAAGTTACTCATTCTTGCCATTTTTATAGTATTAATTGGATTTAGAAACAAATTTTAGGACTTTAGATTCTAAATCAAATTTGAATTTTATGAACACTAAAAACCCATCAAAAATCTTTAGGGAGAAAATCTCTGCAATTCAAGCACATTTTTCTAGGTTATTTTATTTTATTTATTAGTATGTGTTTGCAGTACATGGTGTTTATATTTCTCTTTGGAAGTACTTTTTGACCCTTACTCTCCACTCATAATTCCCTCCCTCAGTCTCTCCTTTCCCTATTTTCATTATTATTGTTATTAGGTTTTTTAGTTCATTTTTGTGACATATAATGCTTACATTTATTGTGAGTAGTTGGTACATGTATATGACACATCTTAAATCTTTTTACATCACCTTCCGTTTCCCCCTGCCCCCACCTTCAGTCTCTTGATCCCCTTCCCGTTTGCAAAAGATCTCCATTTCCTTTTTATCAGTCTTTTAACTTGCTCTTTATTTGTACTATGGATAACTCAAATGAGAGAAATTATAAGGTATTTAACCTCATCTGTCTAATTTATTTCATTTAACATGTTTTTAGGGTTTATCCATTTTCCTGCAAATGTCTTGAATTTATCTTAATAGCAGAGAGGTTTTCCATTATGTATAAATACCACATTTTCTTTATCCATTTGTCTGTTGATGCCCATTTAGACTGCTTCTAAGATTTAGCTGATGAATTGTGCTGCTATAAATATTGGTATGCATGTATTGCGGCAATATGATGTCTTTAGCTCTTTCTAGTTTATTATGTCTTGCCCTTTTTTGTCCCTTACTTAAGAATTGACTGATTTGGGATAATTTTTCTAGTTTGGGATTAAGTCAAGCTGTTCTTCTGCCTATGTATCTGAAATAGCTAGGATTCTTTTAACTTCTAGGGAAGTAAACAACCAAACCACTTGAAATAAAAGGATATAATAGGCCTTTTTATTAGTATATTCCCTCACCTGTCTCTTATCTCTGCTTCTCTCTTCCCTTTGACTTCTTCTTGCCCCATTACAGTAAAAACTATGGCTGCTTATATTGACCTTTTCTTAACTTCTTTCCATGCTCCGCCCTGTGCCTTATTCCCCAGATACACTGAACTACAGTTGTCCAGCCTGGCGCTGTCTAATAAAAATCAATGCAAACCACATACAGTATATAATTTAAAATTTTATAATAGCTGCATTAGAAAAAGTAAAAAGGAAAAATTAATTTAGTAATACATTTATATTTTTTTACTTTACCTAAAATATTATTTTGATAAGTGACCAGTAAAAATTTTTGGAAAATTTCAAAATTCACTTCATTTCAAAAATTTCATTTCAAATTTGAAATTAAAAAAACAGTTGAGGGCCGGGGATTTAACTCAGTGGTTTCGCCGCCTGCTGCGCAAGCGCGAGGACCTGAGTTTGATCCCCGGTACCAAAAACAAAAAACAAAAAAAACAGTTAAAATTTGTCATGTTTTACACTTAAAGCACATCTTAATTCAGATACCAGGTTTTATCAGAAATACTTGATCTATAGTTCGATTTTTTAAAATTTACAGTTGAGAGTAAGGTGTGGTGGTGCACACCTGTAATCCCAGCATTCAGGAGACTGAGGCAGGAGGATCACCATGAATTTGAGGCCTGGGCTACTAAAAAGTTCAAGGCCAGCCTAGACTACTTAACAAGACCCTGTCTCAAAAAAAAAAAAAAAGCAATTTACAGTTGAAAGAGTAGATTCACAGACCTCGTATTGTTCCAAACATACTTAAAAGTTTCCCCAGTAAATCTAGTCAGTTTTTAAAGTTTAAATTAATAAAAATTAAGCAGAATTAAATATTCACTTCTTTAGTCACATTAGCTATGTTTCAAATGTGCAATAGTCTATGGCTAGTGGCTACCATTAGACTGAGCAGCTCTAACATACGAGAACTTCATCACTTTTTTCTCTGTATTATGCCCTTTTAATGCTATAGCTTTCTGTTACATCATCCCAAAGTCTCCAATACTCAACTGAAATGTCATCTTTTAAACTCTTGTCTTCCTACCCCCTTCCCAGGTAGAACTGGCTCTTCCTCTCTCTTTTTCCTTCTGGGCCTCCATACTTTTAGCAACACCTATAATACTTTATCACCTTTATGTATGTGTCTTTCTCCTTCTAGACTGAATACAGTATGCCTTGTTATTCTTGACTTCCCATGACCTAACACAGGTCTGGAATGTATGTATATAAGTCAGTAAATTTTTGTTTGAAGCTTGAATGCTTGTAATTTCAATAAAGAAATAAAGACTTTAAAGAGTTATTTTGAAAGCAGTATGTTAGAAATGGAATTTAAAGGTCAAATTGTACAACATGGCATAGGAAGTGATCTAATGCTCTTGTATTCCTTCCTTCATTCATTTCATTGACCCAGTTATGTGAGAGACAAAGGAGACTATTACATAATCCATGCTGATAAATAGTTCATAATCAGGATAGACACATATGCTTAAACAAATATATACACAAAAGATATGCATACATTACTACTGTCTTAGCTCCCATGATATAGTTTGCTGCTTAGTCAAACAGAATTCCAAGGTTTAATCTTAGAAATTTTTTTGAGCCAAAAATCTACTGGTACATTTTAGATATACATAATAATAACATTCATTATAGGGAATTTGTGCCTGTACATGATAAATCTTGCTTCTTTTTTTCCCATTCCCCACCTCCATTCGACCCCTCTTCCCTTCCTTATACGCAAAAGATTTGTTTCCATTTTTTTCTTCTATTTTTTCCTTGTCCCTTCCTGTCTTTCCCTCTCCCTATCCCTTGTTCTTCTTCTCATTTGAACATTTTCTTCCCATTTCTCAATATGTATTATACATTTTAGTCCTTATTTCCATTTCAGTCTCTCAAACCATAGAAACAATGAGGTATTCAAACGTGTGTGTCCCATTTATTTCACTTACAAGAATGGTCTCAAGGTGCATCTATTTAGCTGTAAATGTCTCAAGCTCATGCTTCTTTATGGCAGAGTAGTACTCCCGTGCATTTTTAAAAACCCACATCTTCTTTATCCATTAATTGGTTAATGAGCATTTGGGCTGTTTCCAAAATTTAGCTATTACAAACTGTGCCACTATAAACATGGGTGCCCATATATTGCTGTGGTATGATGCTTTTAATTCTTTTGAGAAGATACCAAGAAGGAGAATAGCCAGGTCAAATAGAACCTCAAGTTTTAGTGTTTTGAGGAATCTGCACACTGATTTCCACAGTGATTGCACCAGTCTGCACTCCCACCAACAGTGGAAAAGGGTTCCTTTTTCCCCACAGCCCCTCCAGCAATTGTTATCGGTTGATTTTGTGACAGTAGCCATTCTTTCTGGAGTGAGATGGAATCTCAGTGTTGTTTTAATTGACATCTCTTGAATGACCAATGATGTTGAACATTTTTTCATATTTGCTATTTATTTCTACTTCATCTGAGAAGTTTCTGTTCATTTCAAATGCCCATTTTTCGATTGGGTTTTTATATTTGGGGCAATCTGATTTTTTTGAGTTCTTTATATATTCTAGATAGTAGTCTTTTGTCTGAGGATCAGCTGGCAAGATTTTTTTCCCACATTGTGGTTTGTCTCTTCACTCTGTTGGTGGTTTCTCTAACAGCTTTTTAATAGGATGAGATCCCAATTGTTGATTCTTTGTGATAGTTCCTACACGATTGGGATTTTGTTCATAGTCTTTGCCTATACCAGTGCCTTCAAGAGTTCTACCTATTCTGTCTTCCAGCACATTTACTGTTTCTGTTTTAATATTTAGATCTTTGATTCATTTTTATTTTAGTTTAATACATGGTGAAAGATATGGGTCTAGTTTTAATCTTTGGCAAGTGGAAAGCCAGTATTTCCTGCATCATTTATTAAAGAGGCTATCTTTCTTCTGGTGGAGGTGTTTCACTCCTTTGTCAAAGATGATGTGGTTGAGTATGTCTGGAGTTGTTTCTACATCTTCTAATCTGTTCCATTAGTCCTTGGATCTGTTTTTTTTGCCAGTACTATACTGTTTTTATCACTGTAGCTTTGTAGTATAATTTCAAGTCAGGGATTGTAATCCCCTCTGCCTTGCCTTTGTTACCCAGAACTGCCTTTGCTATTCTAGGTCTTTTCTGGTTCCAAATGAATTTTAGGATTTTCTCTAATTCTATGAGATATGCTGTTGGAATTTTGATTAGGATTGCATTAAATCTGTATAACAATTTTAGAAGTATGGCCATTTTCACTATATTGGTTCTTCCTGCCCAAGAGCAAGGGATAATTTTCCATTTTTTAGAGTACTGTAGTTTTCCATGTAGAGGTCTTTTACTTCCTTCATTAGATTGAGTCCTAGGTATTTCATGTTTTTTGAATGCTACTGTGAAAGGTATTGTTTCCCTAATTTCTCTCTTAGTGAGTTTGTTATTTGTGTACAGGAAGGATATCGATTTTTTGAGTGTTGACTTTGTATCCAGCTATGCTACTAATTTTGCTTGTTAAATCTAAAACTCTGGGTGGAGTTTTTGGGGTCTTCTATGTAGAGTATCATGTCATCCACAAATAATGATAATTTAAGTTCTTTCTTTTCTATCCGTATTTCTTTTATTTTTTTCTCTTGTCTAATTTTA